TCTCCCAACAACGGCCAAGCGCATCACCGTCATCCGAAGATGACTCTCCATCGCCCGACGATCCTCCATGAATAGTGTTCTCCTGTTGCAATTTCCTGCATAAAACCCAGTCTCAATTCTTGCGATTTTGCATCAAAACAGTCTCAGTCCTCATAGATTTCAGCACATAATCATCATATAATAACCATACCAAATTATAGGCGTTATATACGAAAACTCATGGAAATTCAACAAAGTATTTTCATCAATTCCAACACAAATTCATCAATTACAATACAATCATCAATCACCAAAACCCAGCACATCATACATTTATCTATACCTTAGATCGATTATAATAACAATAATAAATACCCCCCTTACCTTATTTTATTGCTAGCAATCAAATTCTCTTCATGCTCTACTGAAATTCCCATGCTCCTTCTTGCCTCTTTGTGCCCTAGTTCTGCTTCTGTCTTTTTCTCCCAAAACTACTGTACAGAATGAGCGCTTCTCAAACCCCAAATATCTTTTGTCTCACCTAACCCTTGGAACCTTAATTTGTCTTCCACTATTGTCCTCACTTATTCCCCCCAAATGATCACCACATCCTCATAGTTTTTACCTCATATTTTATTTCTAATTATCTAATTAAAATAATTGTAACTAATTATTCTAATTATTCTAAATTACTAAAAATCCTCTTAATCATCTAAATTCCCACTAAACCATACATACCATCACATCAAACATCGTATTAACCATCATATTCATCTCATCATCATAGTATACTTCATATTCATCGAAACATCACAAGTCATCACGATGACTCGCATAAAAAAACACCAAAACATCATATATATCAAATACTTCACGATGACTTATATATTCACGCTAAATTGATTAAATAATAATTAATCTAGAATTCGGGGTGTTACATTGGATGGTGGACATAACACATTCTCAACTGGAATGTGTTGTTCATTTTCGTTAACTGTTTCGAGTTCGTCACGGCCGCCTTGTTCGAATAAAGAAGTGTAAAATTCATCAGCTTGTGCATCAGTTTCTTCTTCTTCCTAAACATCTTCGTTGGGAATTATTGAGACCGGCTTTGCGTAAGTTGGATTTCTTACCTGTGAGATCTGAGACTCTTGACAATGTTGAAATTTAATGTATAAATCAATGAAATCTAACCCAGATAATTCATGATTATAAAATATCATTTCCACATCATTGTCGTCTCGGGCTTTCAATGGAACATATTTCACATTGCTATTCTCGAAATGAACAATATTTCGATATATAATTTGTAAAATAGATTCAGATTGCATCTTTGTTTGTATCCTCTCCCTCAAGTATTCTAAGTTATCATTTTTATTTAACTTGAATCGACAAACATCAGTATTTTAATATAATGCCCATATCATTAGAGGTAAGGATCTCTCAATTATAATGAGCATCAACTATATATTGAGATGTGTGAGACATGATAAATTCTTTGTGAACAAATGTGTTGAGTTGATGAAAAATATTAGGAAAAAGAGTTACATTTAAATGGATACATGTTTTGTCTTTTGCATACATTTTTTTAATACAGACTTGACTGGTCAATGGTGAAAATTTAAAAAGAAACTAGTCCACCCATTTAAGCTGTATAAGCATTTAATAAATCAAAGGCTCCACCCATTGAAACTTCGGAAGAATTAATTAAATCAAATGTCCCGCTCAATGCACATGCGGATGTCTTACATTTGTTCCATCCCATTTAACACATGTTCGCCAATTACAGGACCAGTGGCAGGAAAAAAAGTAACAGTTTCACCCATCCAATGTGTGGCGTATCTGACAAATTTCAAAGGTTATGTCCATTGGGAAAGTAGAGCCTGTGTTACCTCTGCATGCATGTACTCCACATACAACAAGCATGCATGCACACTTTAATTTTCTTAATAATATTGTAACTTCCATTTAATCTTCTTCCTCTCAATTTTTCCTATAAATATTGTTCTAATTTTCATTTTCTACACAACACTAATCTTTTAACACTCTTCATATACACCATTCTTAATTTTATTTACAACATTGTTGAGATAATGTCTTTGTCAATATATGAAGAGAATCATCGAGGAACATTATCAAACATACTTCAATATGTAAGTGTCTTGATTATATTTACAACATAATCATCTTCTATTGATATTTTTTTTGTTTATTGTTGTTTTTACTACATAATCGTCTTTTAATCTTAACTAAAATTTTATTTTATTTTTGTTAGAATGAGAAAAGGTTTAGGCCTCGTTCACATTCATATGTGCCAATTGACGAAATGATCCATCCTTATTTGATACAAGTGGGACTGGGAACATTATCAACACAACCTCATATGGTGTTGACAAAAAATTCGTTCTCGCGTTATATGAAAGATAGAGGCCAGAAACACACATGTTTCATCTTCCAACCGGTGAATACACAATCACACTTGAAGATGTACACATGTTGTTGGATTTACGTGTAAATAGTGTCGCAGTAAATGGGCAAACAAATGTCGACTACTCCATAACTCAAGAACACTTGGGTGAAGAATTTCCAGACAGAGCTACAAAGGACCAATTCATTAAAAAGACTTGGCTCAGGAAAAAATACGATGTTATTTATTTAAACGAAAATTCCACCATCGAGCAAATACATAGGAAAACTAGAATTTATATTTTATTGCTTTTCACTAGTTTATTATTTCCGGACACTAACGGTAACACAATACATCTTATGTATTTACTATTATTAGTTGACTTTCATAAAATAGGTAGATACAGTTGAGGAGTTGCAACTTTATCGCATCTATACTGAAATTTGTGTAGATGCGCTAAAAAAGATGTTCATAATTTTGCTGGTTGTGCAACACTACTTCATGCTTGAGATGGTCCAGGATATCGAGACTAGCGCCTAGGAATCGTAATCCATTTCACTTTTCATATGCAACCAAGTAAGTTTGGAACTACTGTTTTTTATTAAACTTATTTACTATGTGATTGTGAATTAATTATTATTTATTTTTAGGTGGTCCGCCTATGGGATGAATTACCAAAAGACTCATCATTATTGTGCTCCTGAGTATCGGACTTTCATCTATCATTTCAAGCCAGTTGATGTAATATTCTCAACATTAAATTATTAATAATTACTATTTTTTATATAGTTTTTTAAACTAATAAATATCTTTTTATATAGTTTTTCAAACTAATAAACTAAATTTTTGTAACAGTTTACATGGATGTCCTATCTGGACTTGAAGATATAGATCCAACTGATAGTCACGTGTGAAGTTTAAAAGCATCTATTATCTGTTTCACTACAGTTGAAATGCACCATACAAATAGGGTTAAACTCCAATTTGACATCCTGCAAGGCTTAGCGGATGTTCCAAAGTGCATGGAGGAGTATCACGGAAGTGTGGTGAACGACCAATGGGCATATAACAATTGGAAAGATCATTACAAAAAGAGCGTCGTCAATGGCATAACCACGAAAATACTATCTTACAAGGAGATATCATGTCAGAAGAATGTAAATCGAGTAAGCATTACATGGACTGATATAAGTCTGTGACAAATATGTATATGTCACCGAATAGCTTCTTATTTGATCCTCGTAACCAACTCACATCTTCAAACTTCTAACATACCAGACCATCATCAAGCACTTACACCCAACAATCATCCATTAGCAACCAACAACTTTTCCTTAACACCCAACAAATTTTTCTTAACACCCAACAACCTTTCATCTCAACACAAGCACCTTATACCCCACACCAATTATACCATCAACAAAACTCTTCATCTAACCTCACCCAATGGGGCACCCAACAACAAAATCCATATTTTATCCAATCTACATCATACACCCAACCATAAACACCATTCACACTACATATCCCACAAGATCCCAACTACCAAACACCCCAACAATAAATTTCTTTTTCCCAGCCACAACAATTTACCCCATCCATCGCAGGACTCTTACCAATCCTTCATACATAGCTCAATGCCTAGTAATATCCTATCAAATTTGAATTACGAGAAAATCAGATTAAGTTATGGCAGTGTGACAGTGACAGACTTTACCAATGATGATATGATAGAGGAATTTCTAAATCAAAGATGTAACGCATGACCTTCTAATCAGCCACAAAATGAAGAGATGACTTGTAGAATGGACCAACGTATCAGATAAACCCCTCCTTGTGAAACCCACCAACGATTGACACAATCGAGTCAAAATCCACAATAGATGTGGTTTATCGTAATTTTTTTCATTTTATCAATTATTAAATATTATTATATTATTATGATGTTATTTTAATTTAATGAATTAAAAACTATTGCTTTAATTTGTATTTTATTTTAATTATTATTTTATTTTTCAATAAATATAAATCAATTATAATATAATTATATAATTTAAATATAACTAAACAAAAAAAATAACATTAACTTAATTTAAATAACCAAAAAAATTAGTTTAAAATAGATACACTCTTTCTGGCGGAGCCTCTTTTTTAACGTCTCCACCCACTCATTTGACGGACTCTTATTTTACACTCTTTTGTCTATTCAGATGGTATAAACTATTTAACAATAATGATTTTTTTTTAAAACATATGTTAGTATTATTGAATGAAGAGTATGCTAGATTGGTATTTAATGTTCTAAAGTGTGGTAGGAGAGTAAAATTTTCAGTTTTTCATCCCAAAAACCATAGTTGAAAACATTAATTTAATCTTATTCTTATGAATCACTCGACTTTTTTGGAAGTCAAAAAAGGAGGAAGAAAAATAGTCTTTTAGTTCCAACACTGATAGATATCTATAATTAATTATCTCACAGTCCCATTTACAAAAGTCTTTGAAAACTGCACTGCACTGCACATAACTCTGCCATTAAAACCTATATTTAGTTATAACAACTCTACATGCAAAAACACAATAACAAAAACCATACCTAATTACAAGTTAGCTTTTTCTACACAATATAAACCATCCCAACCTCCAACAAAGAAACTGGTGGAACCTTAAGAGCTACATCAGGTCCTCTACAATTCCTTCTCAAGAAATTGTATCCATAGTTAAGTGCCAACTTCTTCAACAATGATGAACCTTGCTTTGTTTTCACATAAGAATGTCCAAGAATGAATGCAATACCAGCTTCTTGTGCAGCATAAAGATCTTCCAGCTCTTCCTGCATTTGCACACCCGCCTCAGACCTTGTCTCACTTTCATGATCATTGTCAATAGCAAACCTCACCCGTCTTTCATTCGCGTCCATCGGTTCCATCTCGATTACGTCTGTCATGCTTTGTACAGACGGGAATCCAGACGCGCTCCCGGGTTGGACACTCTGCTGACTCTCGTATCCTTGCTGGCTGCAGAAGCTAGTTGTTCCGATAACAGTTAGTCTGTAACTTGATGATTCGTTCGAGTGTGAACCGTCGTCTTCAATGCTCATGCTGTTTCCTCGAGTTCGATACCAATCGTATTGGATAAAGTCAGACAGCTTCTGTACTAGCTCAGATTCGAATGAATCAACATCCTGATGAACGTCGCGATATCCATATCTGACTATACATCTATAAGATCGATGAGCAGCAGGTCCTACGCGGCCTACAAGGTATCTCTCTGCAGGGGTGACATGAGGCACTGGTACTGATTTTACGCATACGAAAACAAGGATGCGGTGATACGCAGGGAGGTTGGTGACAAAGCGAGAGAAGTTCGCCGGAATGCCAGTGGTGAGATCAGTGAACACTAGGCCTATTCCAGGGACTCTAGCAATTCCTAAGCTTGGACCTAAAGCTAGAAGCCAATCTAGTGATACCTTGTTGTGAAGGTCGTATTCGTATTTCTTGATCGTTGCGTAATGCCAAAGGAACATTATGATCATTAGGAAGAGGGCGAGGAGGATCGGGAGCCAGGCACCCTCGCGAAACTTTGTCAGTGAAGCCGAGAAATATAGCAGTTCAACGGAGCCAAAAAACAGTAGGAAACAAAAGGCTAAAATTGGCGGTTTATTCCAACAAACTACAATTACTAAAGAAGTTAGGCACGTCGTTACCAACATCACAGTCATCACTGCTAACCCTGCATCAAAAAATTGTTGAATTTACGCGTCAAACAATTACAATTATCCAGTTAATCACTTAATCATGCATAAATTGTAACATACCTGATGCATTTCCCATGTGTTTTGTGTCTCTAAACCCAATGGTAACAGCAATGCAGAGGATCATGAGCATCCAATTGATTTCTGGGATGTAGACTTGACCATGTATCTTGTCTGATGTATGAACAACCTTAACTCGTGGGAAGCAGCCAAGAGATTGACTCTGATTTATGATCGAAAATGTTCCGCTGATGATTGCTTGGCTCCCCACAACAGAAGCTAGAATAGCTAAGATAAGCACAGGCCACCTCACACTTTCTGCAGCCAAAATTTTGCATTATATTTTCTTTAACATGCTTTTGTAACAGGCAATAACAACCTTACTAGTTAGTAATTTCCTATAAAAGTGATATGCGGCCATGAATACCTGGAACCGAGACATAGTAGCTGATTTGGAGATCAGAATTATGATGTTGTGACAAGTAAGCAGCTTGACCCATATATGCCAATATAAGTGCAGGATATACCAGAAAAGTGAATGCAATCTGCATATGATGAACTGTTAATCAGAAACCGAGAACTTTTCGCATTTAAGTGTCATTTTCCTTAGGGCTATAAGAGAAAATATTTTAACCAACCTGAATGGCCATATAATTGAAATGGCCAAGATCAGCAAACATAGCTTCTGAGCCTGTTCACAAGGTCATAAAGTAAATTACATTAACTACAGAAACTTGACAATGCTCCATGTGAAACTCAAATCCATTGATTTACGAGCATAATATCTTTCTTTGTCGCACTGAAAGTATATTAAATTTCACATTTTAAGGGAAATAGTATGATAAAGGAGCTGTCTAGAATTTGTTCAAAAGTAAATATTCATCGAGAACTTATTCCATGTCTTAATATCTTAATGAAATCTTAGTTTTGACTCTGAGGTTCCTCAAATGATGCTTCGGATATATTAGTCTTGCGTTTTCCAAAAGCACAACATATGCATATTTGTGGATAGGTACATGTTTGGGATTATAGGGATAAATAAGAAAATAGCACAAGACATTATTCCTTCTGTTACCTGTTATGCAAAGTAAGATTCCACCCAAAGACAGCCATCCACTTATCTTTGTCTTTTTCAAGAACTTGAACATATAATACGGCGAAAGAGCTTTATACACATGAGGATTCCATTTGAATATATTGTAAAAGCCAAGTGTGCTAATGCACAGTAACCATGTCAGCACAATTGGTGCAAAAAAGAACCCCACCTTATGTGTACCGTAGTGTTGAAGCGCAAACAAACACACCAGTATGAAGCAAGTGATCGGAATCACAGCATCTGCAAACACAAAATCAATAGGTTCAAAACTCAAATACAGAAGAAACAATGACGAAATCATGCAAATTAACCATTTCTGCTGAGAATGCTATAAGTGAAAATTACACTGATGATGTTTCTTGGACATGATGGATACCTCGAGGCCCGATACTGCTGAGAAAACTACATGAATGAAAAGCTAGTCAAAAAATCGATATGAAAATAGTCGTAAAACATTGGTTTCTTTTTCGTAACCCTCCGGTTCTCAGAGGAAATAGGCCTTGGTAATCTGGAGTTCGGCCATAGATTGTTCCAAATACGATTCAAAATAGATTGATTACTCCCGATCGATTCGACCTTAACTGAAAATCATTAACCAGTTGAGTCCAATCAAGTAGCTATTTATAAAAATTGCGCAATAAGGAGGATAGGATTGTTACCAGAAATGGCAGGTGTAAGCACTCCATCTCCAATTACCATACAAGTACCAAGAAGAACCACAATCAACAAAGCTGTATGCAAAGTCTTATACTTCTCAAGCAAAATCTTCACTTTAGAATTATCTTTCTCTGGAGGCTCCTCCATCTTATATGAAGAAAGTGCTTCATCGGCATGCTGTCTATTTGGTATAAGACTCACTTTAGCATGCCTACAAATCAATGAATAGAGAGCAAAAGTACCACCTGCACAACCATACATACATGAAAATCATCAACAAGATGAAAAGGAAGAGACAAAAATCCAAACTCAAAGTACTTACCCTCTCCATTATCATCAGCTCTAAGAACAACAAACACATATTTGAAGAGTGGAATCAATGTAAGAGTCCAGAAAACAAAAGAAAGAGTGCCATAAATCTCTTCATTAGTCTCTGAATGTTCAATATCCTCAGCAAAAGTGCTTGTAAAAACATACAATGGAGAAATACTCAAGTCTCCATAAACAACACCAAGACTTTGGTAGGCCAATAGCATAATAGTCTTCCAAGAACCCTTCTGAAATTCAAATTTCAGCAACAACTCACTCAACAAAACATCAACCAATGAAAAAATCAACATTAAAAAAGGTGAAATCTCTGCACTAACCTTTGAGTTGTCCCAACACTTTCCAGGTTCAAGATCCATACCTCAATGTTCTTCACACAAAGTGCAACAGTATATTATCAGATCTGAACTCAACAACAACAAACAACAACAAGAACAACAACTTCAATGGAACACAATGAAGAAATCTTAAACCAAACAACTACAGCCACTCAATACTAATCCAGAATGTTTTCTGTCTGTGTCAAAAATCAAAACTCAGTAAAGAATAGAAATGAAAAACATTCACTCTCTTTTGGATAAATATGAAACTCACTCTCATCACATGGCTTCCATATCTCTGTCAAATCTTGAAAAGTGGGCACACATTATTTCTTTTCCCAAATATTAAGGAACAAACATGATAAAAACATATGAACAGTAGTACTTCTAATATAGCATTACACATATTACACTAATATACTATAGTATAAAAATACTGTAGTATAAAAATAATACTATAAAGTATTGTATATATAAATGATATTCTAGAAAGAACTATATACAATAAATAACTATTTTTTGTTTATAGAAGAAAAAGTAAAAGCACTGAGAAGAATGTATGGATATGGAATACTGGTTGTAAAGCACTGTGGCAATATGTAAACATTATTTAATAATTTACCGTCCAGAAAACAAAGAGATGAGTGTTTGTTGGAAAGTCCAAGACGAATGTGTTAGGAGAATGATAAAGAAATGAGCTAAAATCACGTTGAACTAGTTGTTATCAAAAAACAAGAGAAATTGTCTATAGATGCTGACTTAACGTGTAGTAATCACGTGATTTAGCAACACTTACAAATTCACCTGTCACTATACCTTGCGCCTGCACAATCTAAAATGCATATTTTTGAGGATTAGTTGTCATTTCCACTTTGCCTTCTTTTGTGTTTCATACACACTTTATCATTGGATATTTTTGTCATTTTATTTGGTTATGATATGTTTATTAATCATACACATTGCATGCATAACTATACTAGTAGCTATAATAATTAATAATCAAACTTTCAAAGTTCCCCACTCACTCACTCACTCACCTAACTTTTGGAATTCTTTTGTTATTTATTAGCCGTTTCTATATATTAAAAAAAGTAGATGAAAACCGAATACATCCAATCAAAGAGTTGAAACGATTTGTACAAAGTTGGTGAGCCATAATAATGATAATAATTTGGAAATAGTATAGTAGAGTAAATTTTGGTGACGATGGAATGGAGCATGTAATAGCATGAGCTACCTAAAAAGCAAGAGGCATGTGCATCACTATTAATGTAATTTGGAAATGGCTATAACTAACACCTGAACAACTCAACGTGCTTTCATGGTCACATTAAAGCATGGCCCTCCTTTCTTGCTATCAAGGAAGAAAAGAAAGGGATATATCAATGCCAACTTGCTAAGCCTTTCTACTTTTTATGTTTGGCAGGCTCCACTTTCCACTTTATATCTTACAGCTTAGAGCTATATAGGATTATATCATCAATATAACATGTTTATGATGTTATTTGAGCTTGGATTTGTAGTTTTTTTTTTTTGTCAATTTCATTTCCGTTATCTTAATTGAACAAATCACACATTAATTAAAGTATATTTTTATAATATTTTATATTTATCAATTACTTTAAGAGTTAATTTTAGTAAATACTTCAAATTTAATATCAGACGAAGAATGTAAGCTTATCGAGATTGGGTGTGTTTGGATTGACGGTGGACAAAATTGATTCTAGCACAATTGAGTTTGATAGAATTGAGTTTGATAGAATTGATTTATGTTTGGATACATTTATATAAAAGTGAGTTGAACAATAAATTCAGTGTAAAAATCACCCAAAATCAATTCTAGATGCATAAGCTACAAATTCTAACTTCAAGTATGTTGTACCCCAAAATTTGCCCTCTCATTTCACAAAGGATCACCCTGGATCCCAAGTTTGCTTCCATCTATTTCCAAGCCTTGAATTATCAATTTTCAAAAAAAGTCATATGTAAGGGCAAAATGGTCATTTGCACACTGAGAAGTCTAACTTTGACTTTTGAATCAAAATCAAATCTCAAAAATCATATTTCATCAAGACATGTTGGAATATGAAGTTTGTTTCATCAAGAATTTCAAAAGTCAAATTTTACTTTGGAAAAGTCAAATTCTAAATACTTAAAAAAAATTTTAAGTGTTTAAGAAGCATGACAAAACTCAGAACTTCTGACCAGATTATCACCATAACACTCAGCAAATTTTGAACACTCTCAAGGCAGAGTTTGGTCAGAATTTTTGGGCAAGTTTTCACAAAAGCTTCAGTCAGAGTTTTCCATGGTAATTCAAAGAAGGTTAAGAAGCGTGCTGCAAACTTCCTGGAGAGCCTGGAAACTCCTTTAGAACATGCTGGAGCCAGAAGATACAAAGATCAGAGGTTAGATGCTACGCTGAAGCAGAACTTTTGATCCAGAACTAAGCCTTGGTGTAGAATCTCACGTTGCAGAATTTCTGGTTGTGATAAGTCTCATCATCATTTAATGTTCATTTAATGCTCACAACCACTTTCTGAGACTTTATCCAAAGGATTTTCACCACGAGTACCTCTACTGTCTTGGGATAACAAACTTTGGTACTAGGTGTTTACCTTGGGTTTTGGTAAACAACCGCTGATCCTCCAAATGGTTACTTATTTGGTTACTCGCAGGATCGATCAGATTGATCCTAGGACATAGGTTGATTTTAAAGTTTGATTAAGTTGGATAAGGCTTTAAATAAAAGGTCTCAAGTAAATTGCATGAAGGAAAGATTTGGTAAAATAAACAAGGCTTAAAGTAAAGGGTTCGACAAGAATGTAAAGGAGAAAGCAAGTAAAATTCTGGAAAAGTAAATGACTTTAATTGATAAAATTGGTGTTTCACACATACATTTCTCAACAATTCTTTCTCACACGCTGGGTACTCGAATCTATATGAGCGACTTTGTATAGAATTGTGAACACACGCGAGAAATTACATGTCTACTCCTATTTATACTAAAACATCCCAAGTAACCGTCAGGCAGTTACACTGCTTCGAGATCAATCCACTTGGCACGTTCTCCATGTTCGACGCTCCAGATCCTTGCACGTTTGCACGTGGTAACTGCTGGAAACCGTTTTCCCTCCAAAAGCTTGAATTTCAAAACTGCTCCACTCTGGACCATCGAACACTTTCGTCAAGAGACATCTTCGACGAGAAACTCCTTCGACGTCGAAGGCAATCAGCCTTCTTCCTTGGAAGAAATCTTCTAAGTACTTTGCCATCTTTCGACAGGCATTTCGACAGACTTAGCCAGTCGAAGACATTCTTCAACTTTAATGGCTGTCATCAATCAAAACAAAGGTGTCGAATTTAGGAGCCAACAAATTGCCCCCCAAGAATGCCTTATTTCGACTCTGAAAGAAAAAGGCATTCTTTGAAACGCCATTCGACACCTGTCTTTCCACGCTTAGTCACAAGTTAACTTGTGCACTTTTTGTTGCTTTTTACCAACTATTGGCAATCCCAAGAAAACCATCATTGATTTGATCCTAGGACGTCACTTTCAGTACGGCGTGCAGTACCAAACGTCATTTCAGAATTTGTCATTATGACAATTCCCAAAAACGAGGACGCACGCTGCGTCCCTCTATTTCTGCAAAAACGGCCAAAACAACAGGGGGCTGCCACGCGTCCCACTAACTCCTGCAGCATTAAATGGCATTTAATGTCCTCGTTATTGGGGATTTTTCCCACTACTATAAATAGCAGTGAATATCCCATTGTGGGACTTTTTACGCCATCTAGCCTTTCAAACTTCTCTGTTTTCATACAAGTTTGCTATCTTTGCAGAAACTCTTCCTCTTTCACTTCATCTTCAACCTCATTTCAAACAATGGCCTCTGCTTCCACTGCTCCTAGTGCTAACGCACCAACTGAACATGCTAAACCCAAGGTTTTCGTCACTGCCCCAGTAGTAAACTCTACAGGCAAATGAAGGGTTCCTGAACCTTCTGACATCGCCGTTCGCGATGCTTACTCGCGCCACTTGATGATCCCGGTTGGATACTCCAACCAGATCTTTGCAATGTCTGGCCCCATGAATCCAAGTATCTCTGAAGCTCTGAAGATCAAGAGCTATTTCCCAATAGTCGAGAAACTCAAGCCAGTAGCATGCGCCAAGAAAGACGCAGAAGACAATGAAGACCCTGCACGTGAAAAAATCGACCTCCACTTCTTCAACAGAGGTGTTAGGGTCTTCAGGTCTTGCCCTAACCTTACCTCCGATTATGTTGCTTGGCTAACAAAGTTGGAGAAGCACCAAACTTCGATCTGGAAGGATATGGGAATCTTCGACCTAGTGATGCTGTCGAAGACGGGTTTGAACTACTCCCCGGAGATGCTGATAGCTTCACTGTTGTTCTGGGACTACTCCCACTTCACTTTTCATCTTCCATGTGGGATGCTAACCCCCACACTCTTCGATGTGGCCGCTATTACTGGCCTTCGACCAACCGGAGATTACTTCGATCCGGAGGAGATGTCGGAGGACCAAATTGGCTTCTCTGAGACCAAACCAACATACACCACTTTCATCAACCATTATCACGACAGGTCGACAGATGCTGTGTCGGATGTCGAACACATAGCGTTTCTAGCCTTATGGCTAACTCGCTTTGTGTTTTGCTCGAAGTCTCTACAGGTGACCAAAAAGATGGTCACTCTTGCTACTCAACTGCATCACCGCCAAAACATCTGTTTGGCAGAACTGATTCTGGCTAGCCTCTATGATTCGATCAGCAATGGGGCAACTCTTCTGAAACATATCGAGGACAGGGCCAGTTTGCTACTCGCTGGGCCTTTTTGGCTACTCCAACTGTGGCTCAACGCCACTTTCGAATCTTTCCTGCCCAAGAAGGTTCAGATAAATGAACAGGCTCCAGCGATAGCGAATAGACGCATCGAAGGAATCAGGCTGGCTCTGCTGACACCTACGGACGATGGACTGGAGTTTCAACAAACCTTCACCAACTTCGTTCTAATGTTTG